AAAAAAAAAAAAAAAAAAAAATCAAGTGTTGTGGTGGACGCCTGTAGTCCCAGCTACTTGGGAAGCTGAGGCAAGAACATCACTTGAGCCCAAGAGTAGAGGTTGCTGTGAACTATGATGCCACAGCACTCTACCGAGGGGTGACAAAAGTGAGACTCTGTCTCAAAAAACCCCCAAAAACTAAGTGCCATTAAATTGTGCAATTTAAAATGGTTAAAATGGTAAATCTTATGTTACGTGTATTTTACAGAATAAAAACAAAAGAGAAGACAAAAAGCCATCCCCAGACTTTGAAACAATTGATTTCAGCATTGTTTATTATATGAGAAAAGAAAATTAGCCAGGTGCAGTGGCTCATGCCTGTAATCCTAGCATTCTAGGAGGCCGAGGCAGGTGGATTTCTTGAGCTCAGGAGTTCCAGACCAGCCTGAGCAAGAGCAAGACCCCATCTCTACTAAAAATAGAAGAATTAGGAAGGAGTTGTGGCAGGGGCCTGTAGTCTCAGCTACCTGGGAGGCTGAGGCAAGAGAATCGCTTCAGCCCAAGAGTTTGAGATTGCTGTGAGCTATCATGCCATAGCACTCAATCTCAGAACAACTGAGTGAGACTCTGTCTCAAAAAGAAAGAAAGAAAGAAAAAGAAAAAGAAAAGAAAACAGAAAATTGGCTGTGACAGGAGAATTGCTTGAGCCCAGCAGTTTGAAAGCAGTCTAGGCAACATAGCAAGACCCTGTCTCCACAAAAAATAAGAAAAAATTAGCCGAGTGTGGTGGTAGGTACTTTTAGTCCCAGCTACTCAGGAGGCTGAGGCAGGAGGCCATTGATCTCAGGAGTTGGAGGATGCAGTGAGCTGTAATCATGCCCCTGCACTCCAGCCTGAGTGACAGAGTGAAATCTTATCTCAAAAATAAAAGTAAAGGTGCCAGTACACCGAGGCTGGGGAGTTCAAGGCCAGCCTGGGCCAGCTAAACAACAATGACAACTGCAAGAACAACAAAAATAGCCAGGGGCAGTGCCTGTGGCTCAGTGAGTAGGGCGACAGCCCCATATACCGAGGGTGGTGGGTTCAAACGTGGCCCCAGCCAAACTGCAACAAAAAAATGGCAGGCGCCTATAGTCCCAGCTACTCAGGAGGCTGAGGCAAGTGAATCACCTAAGCCCAAGAGCTGGAAGTTGCTGTGAGCTGTGGCGTTACAGCACTCTACTGAGAGTGACAAAAGTGAGACTCTATCTCTAAAAAAAATTTTTAAAATAGCCAGGCATTGTGGCAAGCACCTGTAGTCTCAGCTACTTGGGAGGCTAGGGCAAGAGAATTGCTTAAGCCCAAGAGTTTGAGGTTGCTATGAGCTGTGACACCATAGCTGTGACACCAAGGGCGACATAATGAGACTCTGTCTCAAAAAAAAAAAATTAAATTAAATTAAAATTAAAATAGTTTAAAGAAAAACTGGAAACAACCTAAGGATTAGTTACATCACTACAGTGCACCCATCCTTGGGGGGTGCCACAGTTATGAAAACAAAATTGCAGACATCTATGATCCTACAAGGACAAACTCATTCATTTTTCTCCACAAGCCTTTATTAAGCTCCTACAGTGTGCCAAATACCGATCCAGGAGCTGCAGATACAGTTGTGAACAAAACAAACAAATCTCTGTTCCCCTGGGGCTCTCACTGCCATTGGAGTAGGCAGGCAACATGTAGGATCCCTCAGGAAAATCTATAACATACAGGTAGTGGGAATGGTGCAATGGAAAATAAAGGAAGAAAATAGGGAGGGAAGGAGGCTAACACCACCCAGGCTGGAGTGCAGGGGCATCATCGTAACCCATAGCAACCTCAAACTCCTGGGTTTAAGTCATCCTTCTGCCTCAGCCTCCCAAATAGCTGGGACTATAGGTGTGGGCCATCATGCCCAGTAAATTTTTATATTTTTGTAGGGACAGTGTCTGGCTCTTGCTCAAACTAGTAGAACAACTTTTATTTTTATTTATTTATTTTTTTTGAGACAGAGTCTCACTCTGTCACCCTGGGTAGAATGCCATGGGGGTCATCACAGCTTACAACAACTTCAAACTCTTGGGCTAAACTGATCCTCTTGCCTCAGTTTTTATATGTTTATTAGAGGCAGGAGGTCTCCCTCTTGCTTAGGCTATTCTTGAACTCCTGAACTCAAGCAATCCACACACCTTGATCTCCTGGAGTGCTAGGATTACAGGCCTGAGCCACTACAGCTGGCACCTGGCATACAACAACTTTTTTTTTTTTTTTTTTGAGACAAGAGACGTCTTAAGTTGTCGCCCTGGGTAGAATGACGTGGTGTCACAGCTCAGAGCAACCTCAAACTTTTGGGCTCAAGCTATTCTCTTGCCCTCCTAATTCATTCTTCCTCTTTAAAGCAAAACTCT